ATTATAGGACTAAATCTGTTATTTACCCTATATATATTATTTTAATATAAAGGACTAAAATAAATAAAATTGAAATTAAAGAACCAAATTAAAAGGATTATAAACTCGATTTAGTGACTAAAATGGAAAGTTTATAAACTAGGATGACTGCAGAAAGGATTTAACTATTAATAATTACACAAATAGCCCTCCCCGAAACGACGTCGTTCGGGAAGGGCTATTTAAAGCCAGAAACGGCTGGCCCTTCGGGCCAGCTCTCTCATTCTCCAGTTTTCATTCTCTCTCTAACTGAGAGAGAATGAAAAAGCTCTCCCTTCTCTCTAGCTTCCCTCATCGGAGGGAAGCCGGTCACCGGACGGCAACCGTCTGTCGCCGTGACCCTCACCGCCGGCCACCGCATCCGGTGGCCGGAAAATTTTATTTTTACATCATTAGGTAGATCGGACCGTCCTAAGGACGGTTTCGGTGCTCTTTTCTCCTAAATAGCTCCCGATCGGAGCAAATCTAAAGAAATACCTTCGGTTTTCGAAGGTTTTGGTGAAGTTTGAAGAGGTCCGGTGGCTTCCTCGGTAAGCTTCTTTCCTTTCTTTTTGTTTCTGTTTTGGTTTACTGCGGATTGTGGGTTATTGTTCTTTGTTTTTGTTCTCTGTTTTTGCTGGTCTCTCTCTGTTCCTCCTCTTTTGTTCGCAGATGGGGTGATGGCTTTATAGCCATCACCGGTGTGGCCATCGGACCGGGTAAAAGAATACCCTTCGGTGAGTCACCGGACTCCCAGTGGTGACTCACCCCATAGCCATAGCGTGGACGGCTGGCGTTGGAGCTTCTGGAGCCTTCGGTTGGGGCGTGGCAGCGGCTGGAGCAACGTGGAGCGGCGGCAGCTGGTGTAGTCCCTAGGGTATCATAACCCTAGGGTTTCGTTTGGCGCCATCTGGACCGTTGGATCTTGCCAGATCCAACGGTGGCAAGCTGAGGCGGCTGGGAGAAGAGAGAAACCCTAATCTAGTTTAGGGTTTCCATTGAGCTTCTGGATTTGGGCCACCATTTGTAATTGGGCCTCCATTTTGGGTTTTGTAATATTAAATAATATATATTATTAATAATAATTATTATAATTATAATAATTATTATTATTATATAAATAACATTAAAATGAAAAAAAAATGAATATCTTGAGATAGTGCATGGTATAATTAAAGGTAAATCACATTTAGATTATAAAGGGAATTCCTGAGGTCCCCATATTCTATCTGATCTTTCCTTTTCTCTTCTTAGAAATAAATTTTGCAGAGATAGAAATAGAAAGTAGTGCGGGGTGTATTGGTGTTTTCGTTGGGATGCAGCTAAATACCAACAAGAGATGGAGGAAATTTTTTTATATTGGAGCACATTTAAATTTATAAAATTTCAGTGGACGAAAATATATTTTTAATAAAAAAAATCTAAAATTTATGTTAATTTTAAATTTTCAATGATGCCACTGATCGCACCCGCGTCCATCCCTGATTCCAACAGTGGACCTAAACCTCGTTTCCTCAGTTGCTCTATCATCTAAAACTCCCTGCCATAGCTCAACTGTTTCTTGATGTCAGTAGCTCTCCTTCTTTCAGTCTTTATTCTTTCAATCGATTGTACACTTAAACCAGCACATGCACTAACGCCACCCTACTAAAATCCAATCCCTATGCTACAAATATCATACCCCTCCCAGCTCGCCTCGATGAATCCTTCTGGTCTTACATTGATCAATGTACCCAACTTATAAAAAAACGACTGACATTCATACAATAAATATGCATACACATACATGCATGCATGCATTACTATGCAATATTTAAAGATGTCATGAAAATTTTCTTATTTTCAAACCAACTAAAGTTTTTATATGTATAAGAAATTCCAAAACAGACTAACCATGATAATAACTTAATAAGAGCTCAAATTGCAGTTTGCAGGTACAAATCTCTCTCCCTCTATACCATTGTGTCGAAACGATTTTTTCTTAAAGGTGAAAAGGTGAGATTTTAAAAAACCACATTAATTTTTAATTTATATCTTTCAATTGATTTTTAATTTAAAAACAAATGCGATTTAAAAAACATTTCGTTTCGAAAAAATTCAGATTTCTTTTATGATCGAAAAAATACAATTCAAAGAGTCGCCACCAATCTTTGATTAGGGTGTGATTGGGCACCCAAAAATGATGTCATTTTAAATAAAAATTAACTTTAATTAAAACAACAAATTGAGGTCTGCGTTACCAAAATCCGAGTTCGGGAGTCGGTTACGTGTGGGGAAGGATTAGCACCCCCACAACGCCCTAAATCGGTACCTAGTCGATTAATTAACGTCTTTGCAATGAACTTTACAAATTCGAGTTTATTTTGATTCTTGATCCCATAAAGTAAAAATGTAAATTTAAAACATTCAAAAGCCCTCAAAATAATTAAATTAAAATTACCAAGTCGTTTTAGAAAGATAAAGAATGTTCGACTATTTACAAATATCGAGACCAGATCTTAAAGATATAACAACTTTTTCTCGATATATTTAAATAAACGAACATTTCTTTTTCTCTCGTTCCCAAATTTTAGGTGACGAATCATTTTTTTTGAGTTTCACTTTCGGGATACACTTTTATTTTAAAATCATTAAAAGCGGGCCTCAAATCAGTTATGACTGCCCACTTCAACAATTTTAAATTAAAAGGGTATTACCCTTAGTCCGATTATGTAATAGGTCGAGTTATGCATGTAAGGCTATCATACAAATTGTACCAAAAAATTATGTCATGCCAGAAATTAATTAAACAAAATTAAAAATATCATACAATGTGACATAAAAAAAATTAACATACATATGTTTTAATTAAAAATCATAAATTATGCATATTAACATATTATATACACATGTGACCTAAATATAAAAACAAAATCATAACATACTAAACTACAAATTTTAAAAAGATATATACATATTAGAGTTAGAGTTGAATTTAAATAAATGTAAAATTCGACATACAGATTAAAACTAAAGTATGGATCTAAATGAAAATTGCCTAAATATAATGGATTTACAAACAAAAAAAAACTATAACAGAATTGAAATTGATAAAATAATAAAATCAGGACAAACACAAAATATTAAATTCGAAAGCAATCCTAAAGGTGACTAAAGTATAAATATGTGACTAAAGAACAAGAGCACGAAAGCAAAATACCATAAAATTTCAATGGCCAAATATTAATTAACCCTAAAATTTTAATATATAATATTCTTTAATATCAAACTAAGCAACTCAGCCGTATCATCTCCAAAACACCATGCTTTCATTTTTCAACTTCTTTGAAGCGGAAATGGAGACCACAGCAACCAACGACCAAGGCTCTCTTTTGGGTTTTGCGATAAAGACCCAACACAAGAAGGACGAAGATCAAAGGCTCTCTTCGACGTCAGAACATACCCGAGCCAGGTAACCCAATCTTAAACACCTAATTTTCTTGAAATTTAATACAGAGAAGCATGATTCCTTCAAAAAGGAGATCCCCATTTTCTTTCCGCTTCGTATTACTCCTATAGATTTATGCTAAGCTACTCTTTAAAAAACAATTGTTTTTTTATTTAAAAACCCTCTCCTTCCTCTAGTTTTTCGTCTGTTTCAGACATGGAAAAAAAATTAATTTTTTTTCATATATTCTTCAGTAAGGAATTCCCTAATGAACGGCGACCTACACTCTGACAACAACAGGATCAACAAAAGAAACGGTAAAGAGATTAAACTCATTCTTTTCTTACATCTTTTATTTGTTTAGAAATAAGAACACCCATAACATACTGGAAATGGAAAAGAAAGAAAGAAAATACCAAAAAACAGATATTTACTTTCTATTGCTTCTTCGGCTTTTTGAATACAACGGTGAGACTCCTTGGGAATTTTCTTGAACGTGATCTCCTCGATGACTGGAACGGGGATACAAGCGATGTGGTGGTTATCCTCTTCAACTCCGGCAAGTAAGGGCTACGTTATCTCATTGAAAAGCTTCTATTTGTTGTTGATGGCCCTTTTTTTGGATTTTTGGCTAAATGAACATATTTGAATGGGTATTTTCCGAATGGAATCTCTCTCTCTCTTCTTTCGACGTGTGTTAATGGTTGGGAATGGCTATGGTTTCTGCTCTGTTTTTGCTCAGTGCTCTTGTTTTCTTTTTCTTTTTTTTTGGTTCTCCCCCCTTTTCTTTTTTCTGTTTTCTCCTCTTTTCTATCCCCATGCTGATAGTTTCTAGTAGTTAAAATCCCCTTAAAACTGACCATTTACAGTTTTTTAATTCCCCACTATCTAATTATTCCAACTGCTAAAAACCAACCTGAATCTCTTTCTTTTTCTGCATCCAACTGCTGTCCATTGGTCTTGAGCTGGGCCTCCAACATGTTTGGGCTTATTTGGGCTCTCACTGATCCACACTATAACTCGTACTGGATCTAAAACTCGAACGGAGTCCCCGGACAAAACCGAGCATCTACACATTGATTATAACCCCCCCCAAAAAAAAGCAACAACAAAATGAAAAAAAAAATTAAACATAAAGTAAGTGAGAAAAAAATTAGTTCCTCAATCCTCATCCTGATCTTTTACTTGGGACTGAAACGCCCTAAAAACCGATCCTGATGACTAGTAACATTGCATTAGGGAAAAAAAGGAAAGAAATATCGTGCAATATATGCATACAAAATAGGACAAACTTACTGGGCTTAAAAGTTGCATCAAAAGGAGCTATAAGCCTATCTCTTCAGCACAGCAGCTTCAGATGGTGATGACTGATGAAGAAGATGATACCCATCAGCAATGAGATGAAGAGGATCCGAGGTTCCTCTCAGCGCAAATAGGGATTTTTCTCAACCTTTGATAATAAAACTTTAGACTGAATTCTTGCAGCTGACATGATCCATCGGATCCTCTCTTCTCACATCCATGCTTCAATACACAACTTTAATTTATTAGTTTGTTTTTTCAATCCCACCCAATTATGACTATGGAATCCACTACCCACAGTAGTAATCAACCCAAACAAAGTACCTATAACCCCCAAAAAAGACCAAACAAAGAGGGGGAGAATTTGAAGAACAAGAGTAGTTTAGTTCCTATATCAGAGAAGTGACTGAGGATCCAATGTTTGCTGGATCATGCCAAGCACCGACGCCTGCGTGCTCCAATAAACTGCAGGATCAGATAAACCGATTTGATCGAGCTGATTCTGGCAAGGTACATTCCATTCTATTCTCCTTTTCGCTTCTTCAACTTTAATATCTTTCATGGTTAGCCGATTTTCAGTGTCACCCGTCATTTGAAGGTCTTCAAAAGGTGCCGAGGCTTGCATTTGGTTAGGCAGTTGAGTACTTTTAAAACAACTGTTCGTGAACTTGTTTTGGTAAAGAGTAGAAGTTAACAAAGAAGCAATGGTGGGTGTGGTGGTGGTGGTGGTGGTAGAAGATGAGGATCCAAAGAGATTAGAGTAGCTTGAAAGGAGTGGATTTGAAGTCGCCACTTCCTGGATTGGGTTACTCGGGTTAGTGTTAAAAACATTTCGATAATTACTGTTCCCGGCATCACTAGACACTATCCCAGAAGAAAACCCTAATCCCAGGTCATTTAAATCAGGCTGGAGACCATAGCCTGTTACGTTTTCCACACCTGAAACTCTTGAATTGAACCGAGGAAAGGGAAGATTGAGATCAGATGGGGTATTAGCTAACCCATAAAACAAAGGGTTAATATGATGAGTTGAGGTCGAAGAGACACCGATTTGAGGTTGAGAGATTGGAGTGTTAGTATTTGCACCAGAAGTTGAAGAAGCACCATCAATGGCTGAAGCCGCTGGTCTCTTCACACGCTTGTTCTTCCTATATCCACCGCCCACCGGAACATTCCTTAAAGTGCCACCCCGAGTCCAATAACTCTTACAAGCCTTGCAGAAGTGTCTTGGCTGTGATAAACTGTAGTTGTTGTAGTAACAGAACTTTGTGTTTGATGAATCACAACGAGGGCACTTTAGGGCCTGCTGCTGCTGCTGTTGTTCTTGGCTTGGTTTCTCCATAAGCCTAGCAGTTGACTCCATCAAGTCTTTCTCATCTATATGCTTCTGCAACCAAAGTGATGCATGGCCAAAAATGAAAAGAGGATAAAGGAGTTAAATGAGTGTTCTAATGGTAAAATAACAACACAACAAAGGAATCTTTGAAAACAAAGGGCTGGCTAGCCCAACACCACCTGACTAGCCCAACAGATACGAACCAGTTCAAGCCCGAATCGATCCACTCAACCCCAGCACTCAACCCGACCCAAGACCCAAACAATTGACCCGATTAGAGATCCAACCTGACCCAAAATTCTAAAACACATTAGGGTTTCTAATAGGTTTTATGCGTCGCTTTGGATTCCAACCTTTGGATCAGACTCCATCCAATGGTTTAAGGTGACCCAGTTTAGGGTTCTCTCACTAGCTCGGCAGCAGCCGTCGACTCCTCAGTTCCCAGTCGCCGTTCAAGCCAGACTTCCCTTATCGTGCGAGCCGCCATCGAGCCACTGTCGAACATGTCATATAGCCATTCACAAACATCCATCGAGCCACTGCCGAACATGTCATATAGCCGTTTTGCCGAGATGTAAATCTTGTAGATCTGGGGTCCTAGAGGGGTTTTTAGGCTGAATGAAGTTGGGAATCAAAGAGAGGGGATCAAGAAGGACCTTTGAGGGGTGACATCTCTCCGGTCGCCGTGCGCCGCCGTGAGCTCTACCGGCTGCGGCTTCCTCTCTTCTCTGATGAGAGAGTTCTCTCTCCCTCTCTCTTTCATTTTTGAGGCAAATGAGAAATTAGGGGAGTTGGTGAGAAAGGGCCTCGGTTTAGGTTTAAATACCCAAATCAAAACGACGCAGTTTTGTCACTTACTTTCATGTTTTCATGATTTTTGGGCATATTACAGCTTTAGACCCTTCTGTTTTTGTAATCTATTATTTCGTCATGAAATGACATGGATTATTATCATGTTTGATCCTTTTATTTTTCATATTTTTTATTTTAGCAACTGTTCCAAAAGCAAAACAACAAAAATAGGACCATCGTTTTGTCGAATAATTGCTTGAGAGAGAAAGTAGTGAAAATTAAACCTGTGGCCATTCATTGTTAGCAGTTGAATGAAGAGACGATCATCATCTTCTTGCAGTTACTCAACATTTTCTTCTATCAAAGGAATCTTTGAAAACAAAGGGCTGGCGGCGACGCAAGTCCTTGTTAGTGGGATTCAAGTATTTTCTATGACTGACAGAGTATATCATCTATGTTATGAGCATTACAATAATTCTTTTAATTCATCTGATTTGATTTGTTAATTCTGAGGTGATATAGATCTGATCTTAACTGATGAATTGAATAATATTTGAGATTAAAAAAATGGGACAAAGAATATATGTATGTATGGAAGACAAATATTCAAAATCCAAGAAGACGACACAGAGGTAAAGCGGCAGAAGAGATGAATCTTGACAAGTTCAAGAAAAAAAAAATATTACATGAGAGTTCTAGATCAGCCGAACTTTGCATCTTGTAGATATCCCTATTATCTTTAATATTCTATTCATTGTATAAATTATTTATGATCTCTTTATATAATTTTTTTCTTATACTTTTAATATATTAATATATAATATCCATTGCATCAAACTGTTAACCAATATTGATATTTTGAAAGTTCAAATTTTTAAATGGTTTATAACAAAATAATTAAATTTTTAAATATTATCTATATCCTATTAAATTTGTATATAACAAAATATTATCTATATTCTACTAAATTTGTTTAATATTGACTTTTTGAAAGTTCAAAATTTTAAATTGTCATCATGCCTATGTTAACTATTTTAAATAATTAAATTTTATAAAATATATATTTAAAACAAATACTATTTTATAATTACTTTAATTTAATTAAAAAAAAATTATTAATTTTTTTAAAAAAATATATTACGTATGGCCAAACTCACAAGGCCGGACAAGAGATGTCACATCTCCAATTTAACCCACCCATTAACAATCCAAAATATTTTATATAACTAACTGAAAAATGGATAATTGAATTGATCCCAGTTCAACATTGATTTTTAGGAGTGGAATAACGGATGAAGGAGAAGCGGGGAATTGGACTAATAAGTAGGTCTGGTCCGGATAAGAGATTCCAAATTGAAGCAAACCCAACGCGAAGGTGCCATTGGGGGTGGACCAAAGCATCCAATCAAAGCCAACTGTTCCCCTCATCCACCCCAAACAATGTGCACACAAATATCTCCCTCTCTACATCTTATTCGTTCTCCTCTTATTACACAATTAATCTTCACTTATTTGGGCCAAGCCACTAACTTTGATAAAAACAAAACTCGAGTACCCATCCCCACAAACACCAATCATTCCATATATATAATATATATAAGGGCAAGTTTGACATTTTCAATGACGGGAGCTAGGGTTTGTATACCTCTTGGCTAAACCCAAATGATTGTCCACAGCTTTCGTTATTGTTGGAGAATATGATTATATAAAGGGGTGAAATATGTATTGATTCTGATTACCGATTAATGGATTATTTAACCAATATGTTTGATTTAAGTGGTAAGTAATTTGATGTTGTTTAAGTAAGATCTTAAGTTTGAGTCTTTGTTTATGCATAAAATCCTTGTTGGGAGACTCATTCACTAAAACTAGGTGTGTGACATGGGTCGGTTCGGATTATTTAAATTTGAGAGGGTTACTTTTGTCTCTGTAGTATCTTAATTAATCAATCAATAAATTAAATACCGGTGATATAAAAAAATGAACTAATAGGCCACTCAAAAAGAAAGTAGGGAGATTCAAACCTGGGGATTGGGTGAGTAAAAGCATGGAAAACTCCAGTGAGGTCATTTCATGTCATGGGTCGTCTGTCTGTCTCTATGGAAAAAGGAAGTATTTCATTCCAGATTTCCATTGTTATTAATATATTTTAATATGGGTTCGGAAGAATAATATTCAGTAACATGCTACTTGGGGGTTTAGGGTTATTCTTTCCTAAGCTGTCAACAGGTGATTTATTAGTCTATTGGATACAACTGAGTCTACCAGCCAAAAGGCCCAAAAGAAATCCTGATTTAGAGTAGACTGATTTTATTAACATAATTTATCCATTTGTATTGGAATGTTTGATCCTCACAACATGAAGCCCAAGCAATCTACCCCTCGATTTTTCATAGCAGCCCAAACGTTACAAATTATTATCTTGATAAAACCTATTACAGATATGATTTGAACATCTAAGGTTGTACTTATTTCAAGTATTTGATTTTTTTATTCGGTTTTTAATTAAATAAAATTAATCCAATTAATATAATTTTAATTACATTCAAAGAAAGAAATAAAGGTTTCCTATAAAATTATTTATTATTATTTTTTTTTTAAAAAAAAATTCTGAAGACATTCCCTAATTTCTCAACTCGCACCTTTTCTCATCTCACCGACACTCTTATCAATCTCATCGACCCTAAGTTTTTTTCCTTTCCTTTTCCTTTTTTTTTTCTCGAGACTTGTCTGGGAACCAAAGTTTTGTTATCTGAAAAACAAGTAATTTGCGTTTTTCTTTGACAAGTACAACAATAAAATTATTAAAATATTAATCATACATAAAATTATACAAACATACAAAACTACTTTAAATTTACACGGGTGTAATTGGATCCCTCTCTCTCTCTCTCTCTCTCTCTCTCTCTCTCTCTCTCTCTATATATATATATATATATATATATATATATATATATATATATTATGACCCACTTACATTATGTAAAATTCTTTTAATTTTATACCTTTTTAGAATCGTTAGATTAAGAAAAGCCAAATGCTAAGATTATCTTTTTGTTTTTCCGGTGAATATCTTCTCATTTTCTACTGTCAATCTCAACCTTCACTTTCTCTCCTCCAATATCCCTAAAAATATGTAAAATTAAGAGAATTTTACACAATGTAATTGGATATATATACACAATGTAAACTAGTTCTAGATGCCAGCATCAGTTAAAAACACAATTGTCAATAAAAATCAAACACAGTAGGAGCACAGAGTAGCAGAACATAAAATCCCATCCGCAGTCATTGAAATTCATTCATCAACTAAAATGTGCAAATTCTGTTTTACTTCTAAACAGTAACAAAAAAGGCTATAAAACCAACCTTGTCTGTTTCGTTTCAAATTGGTTTAAAGTCCAAAATACCAAACCACTTTCAAACTCTAGCCCTCTTGCTAGTGCAACTTGGGCACTTGTACTGCTTGATATGCTCGGCCTTTGCAGGTGTAATATTTACACATTTTCCATGAAACCATCTCTCACAGATATCGCAGCAAATCCAAAACTCATCAGTTCCATAGCTATCCCCACAAGCCCCACAGGTGGCACCATGTTCATCATCATCTTCGTCTTCTTCCCCACTCTCATCATCCTTGGATAGTGGAGATATCTTTACCATCTTACTCTGGGGTTCAGATTGACGAGACTGCAAACACCAGGGATATCCATGAGATTAAATCAGACCACTGCATATTAAAGGAAGAAAAACACAAGCATTTACGTTTAACTTCATACCACATTGGCATTTGATTTGCTTTTGCCACTGCTGTTGTGATTAGTAGATCGGTCTTTTGATGGCTTTACGCTTCCTGTCACAACTTCGAATATGGTTGGAAGATCATTTATCATCAGATAGAGTTTTTTCCTGTCAATAGAAAAACATTACTGACAGGCAAAACCTGTAATGAAGCACTCACCCTCCTACCCCCAAGCACTACTCACAGCTCAAATCCCTTACTAACAAGGAAGCATGCCTGTGCTGCAAGCGTGACCAGATCCAGGGATTTGGAAAAAGAAGTTATTTATTTAGTTCCTTTCTTTTACTGAACCTATGTCACTCGTACTCGGTTGTGAGTGTCGGAAGTCGACACAAGTCTCCAAAGGAGTATGTTCAATTTTTCTACATTTTTCCCTATATTAGGAGGGTCCTTAGAGTGTCATGCACTTGTATTCCTGTGTTGAATAAAGGAAGAGTAGAAGCAATATACTATTCACTAAAAGAAAGTTGAAAGAACTGGATCCCTTGGTTCAATGATTGAGGATTTCTAAATGAGCTAAACAACAATTATAGGGCTGATTAACAGACGGCAGGTGAATTGGTATTTTTCTACATATTCCCAGCAAACAGGGCCTTTCCCCTTTCTCTCACAGCTGCCTCTTGCTGTTTTATTTTTGGTCATGCATCACACCACTGCAACAGAGGAACTAAGGGTCAAGTTTTTCTTCTTTCCCCAAGTTTTTCTTCTTTCCTAAGTTCAAATTCCCAAATATGTCAAATATTCCCTCCTAAAGCAAGTCCCTTACTAAAAATACAAAACAATGTATATTCACATGCCTATTGGCAGACATCAAGTTATGGCTGTACAGACTTTCACTTTAGCTAGGATTACATATTAATAGTCAAACATCTCATTTAGTATTTTGGCATCCAGTCACCTCCTTTCTTGAATGTAAGGCATAAACAACTATCACACGTCAGAAAAAATACTAATGGAAGAACCAGAGTAGTCCCGAATTCATCTTACATAATTTAAAACAAAAAAGGTACACAACATTAAAAATAAAAATGATTAAAAATGAACTTTCCAAAATTTTGGACATCTAATATTATTTTCAGCCTGCATAAACTTAGTGCTATGCATCAGATTGGTAACTTTCTATAAATTAGAAATAAACTCATTTAAAGAGAACAAGGGTACCTTTTTTCTATAACAGAAGATGCAAAGAGAATAATGCAGATAGCACTAAATTCAACCAAGATACAGCAGCAACCAAGCTGCTCAAACTTAGACTCAATGTGCCATAAATGACATAGAAAAAGCAAACATACCTCTCATTCTTTCCAAATCCAAACCGTGCACCAAAATAGAAAGCAACGGCAAGCAACCACGAATCACTGTGAACTGCAACCAATGATAGCCAGTCCTTCTCCTGCATTCCATCTCTTGCAAAGTTTATGCCCAGTGCAGGTTCTGGAAGCTCGGGAGGAACCTCCTCAACAGGCAAGTTAACTTCCCATGTCTCATTTGGAAGTCCATACAAGCACAAGTTCTCCTTCTCTGCAAATGTAAATTCAAAATTTTCAAAGACATAAGTTTGCTGGAATGAATCACAACAAACATACAGCACATTAATAACTTTGAAGTCATCTAGAAGCAATTCTTGTAGATTCAAGATTTTCTAGTTAACATATAAAATATAAGCATGTAACAAATAGCCATAAACACCACATTGCAGTGGTGATTTTTCAAGTAGAATCAGAACCAAAGTTCTCCTAAACTGAACTTTAAGAATGAAAAATGACATCCAATATATAATAGTCTGTGGATAGAATGAAAAAGTGGAAATTGAAGCCAAAGAATAGTTTACATCTATAAATGAAGGACACTAGATACTTCATTTTCCACTATCATTTCAGATTAAAGTGTATTCATTAAATGGCACTACATGATACAGAAAGCCAAGCAAATTTCAAACCATCCAGTAAGGAAACATATAGGAAAGTATGACAAATAGTTTTCAGCGTGACTATAACACAAACATTCACAGGATATATAACATAATTTCAGAAACACATAGAAATGAAGATTCACTTCCAAAGAAATAAATCCATCCGGTAAGAGAACATACAGGAAAGCATGATAAGTAGTTTCAGTGTGACTATAAATGCAAACATTTACAGGAAATAGAACATAATTTCAGAAACAAATAGAAATGAAGATTCATTTCCAAAGAAAGAAAGCCATCCTGTAAGAAAACATATGGGAAAGCATGATAAGTAGTTTTCAGTGTGACTATTAATGCAAACATTCACATGGAAATACAACATAATTTCAAAAACAAATAGAAATGAAGATTCAATTTCAAAGAAAGAAAGCCATACGGTGATAGAACATATAGGAAAGCATGATAAGTAGTTTTCAGTGAGACTATAAATGCAAACATTCACAGGAAATATAACATAATTTCAGAAACAGATAGAAATGAAGATTCAGTTCCAAAGAAAGAAATTTCAATAATTCAGCTACTTCAGACACTAACTCATGGCAGGTTGCTTTGTGCAGAGAATGGCCAGAAGTATGTCCACATCATTAAAAGGCAAAGATTATTAAGAAAAAAGGTTAGGCAACCATTTGAAACATGCATTTGGGCAGATTTCATACCCGAGCTTCAAATTTTCAAGGAGCTGCCATAAACACTTGACTGGAAAGGTTAATTTGAAAACAGTCACTTTATCCAAAAAGAAATGCAGGTTCATTAGCAGATTAAATTAAAACCAAGGCAGACAGTATAATGGCAAAAAGAAAGCTCATTCATGTAACTTTTTTTTTTCTGGCCACCTTGCAGGCAAAGCAAGTATTCTGTAGCAAATAAACCAAGATTACATATCATCAAAAAGGAAAAGGGGGCTAATATGATAAATGATTTAAAGGACCTAAACCAGAGAGGTGAGCGCGAATACAAGTCTTTTCACAATTGAAGTGAATTGCATTCAGAGGCATTTATTGTGTACAGCACACACGACATGTCTATAGAAACAAGCATGAACAATTTAGGGTTGATAAGGACAAAAAGGGAAATCAAATATAAAAATAAAGATAAAGCTGCGCCTTTGTATATCTGATCAAGCAGCCATAGTGTAAGAAGAAAAAGTTTAACTTCTTTCACTGAAATACATTAGACAATGTGATTTTCATTAGCTTTACTGGATAGTCAGCTGCTACGGCAGTCGGGAAATAACAATATAGACAGAATTTTGACGAGAACAAAATGTAAAAACCATTTCGTACAGACACAGAAAAGTATTCCAAATGAAAGAGAGCAAACTCGAGAGAAGGAAAACAAACAGATATACAGTGCGTGAAGCGTCAACCTCAAAAAGAAAATATACAAAAAAGAAAAACTGCAAAGTAACCCACCAGGATCACACTGTTGGAAGAACTTTTCAACATCTGCCATAAAAACACAAATATGAAACAAACAAACAAAAAAAAACTCGTTAATTAAATCGACATGTAATTCTAAAAGAAATAAAAGAGAGAGAAATCCAACAACGAAAGAAAGAAAGAAAGGGGAAAAAACCAGTGGTGAGAGCCTTAATCAAGCCAGCGCGTCTGCCTTTAAAGTCGTTGAAGACCTCATCTACCGTTCTCGGTATTGGGTGTGGCATCCCTTCCATTTGTTTTCCTCAAATTCCCCCTAAAAATTTCCCCACTAACCCAAAATCCTTAACCTCTCTATATTGCAAATTGAAATATTAAATACAAAGACAGTACGTGGACAAAACTTTTAAATATAATTTCCAGAGTAGCAAGTCGGGAGTTGAAGGAAAAGATGAATTAGGGTTTTCATTGTAGGGTTTGGTGGGATGGAGGTTTGGGAAATTGGGGATATTCTACAAATTATAATTATATTATATAAAAATAATGTACACTTTGTGAAAGAGAGGAGGAGAAGGATAACGGAGACTCTAAAAAGCCAATTTTAGGCCAAAAGATGGGGGGTTTAATTAAAATTTAGATTTCAATGATAACTTGGATTTTGACGGGATGGATCTACCTTTATATCCACTATTGAAGTGAAGAAAATTGTTTTTTTTATGGTTAAAGTACACGTATAGTCATTCGCTTATTACTATGTTTATATTCTAGTCATCTGTTGTGTAAAGTTACACGTTATGACATTCATCACTCAACTAATCATCTTCTTATAATTTAGTCACCCCTTTGTTAACTATTAATGGAAATATAGATGAACAGATTGTGGATTTTAATATTTATAGATATTTGATCTATCTTTTTATATATTCAAAATGGTATGTGGATTTGGACATTGATATTACTATCGGTTGTAGATAAAAATATATGCCAACGAATATTCATTATTTGATATAACATATAGATTTAAACTTTGGTTACTTCACTTTTAACGGATTCAAATTTAAATTTTTATCTAATAATAAATTTATATGAAGAGATAACATCTATTTATATAATATAAAAAAATAATTTTTTTATATATTTTAAATTGTTAGATGAACAAATTTATGAAATTGAAATAAGAGTATAAAATCAAAACATAATAAACAAAAGAGCTATTTTCGATTTAAAAACTTTAATTTTTATACACTAAATTTAATTAGTCCAATAATAAAAAAACAATTAAAACTAAAAAAAATATACTATAGAAGTAATTTTTTTAATAGTACAAATGATTATAAAATAGTATATATTCAGAATCTTTATTAGCCATTAATAATGTATACATATCTTATAAACGCTAATCAAATTTAAAACCTAATAGAAGAAAAATATTTTATTTAATCACCAAAACCGCTCAATAAGTTCTACTATAAAAGTAGTTCCTTACTCGCTATATTTATAACCGATAACATATTTTATCATAAAAATTAATAATTAATAGTCTGTACTCCACTTCTAGGGTGAATGCGGTGCAGTGGTTTGGGCCACTTTCCTAAGGTTTTCGATGATCATAACTAGCTTGGTGTTAAGCCGGTTCACAAACCACTTGGGAAGCCATCCTGAAGGATCTAACTGCACAGCCAAATAACAAACGCCAAATATCAGCATTTAGAGTAAGTTTAATTTTTTATTTATAAAAACCAATAAAACTGTTTTATTTCGACTTGTTAGCCATATGTGTAAGAATGTTTACATTACCTGAACAACATAAGTAACAATACACGAGTTTATATCTTCAAGTTTTTCTACAACCCATCCTGATTGCAGCAATAAGCCTCTAATTGCATTATTCTGCTGTGGAAGCAACCCAGCTGCAATTTCCTTGGGCAGTGAGCCCACTGCTACAACCTGCAAACTTAATTATTTAGTTCCTAATTAACCCGTAAACTACTCTCACTGTGTGTGCGTGCGTGTATATATAATACCAAAGTGCCGTCTTCCATGCTTTCACGTCGCTCGTACACTATGAATTCTCTTTTTCTAAACAGAGGCTTTGAGTTGTCGCCAAACCTAAGACGAATGATGCTCAAGTTATCTTCAAGATCTTTAGGCCATGTTTGGTTCAGGTCATATTTAATTCCTGTTGGTAATCTTTTTTTCCAGATAAACATTCCCATGTTTGGATAAACTATATTCCCAAGTGGAGGGAAATAATAATTACCAACAGTTATTTTTTTTCTTACTTTCCCGGGAATGTTATACCCTCATCTCTCTTAGGCCCGGTTCTCTTGTCTAAAGTACCCTTCTCCTTCTTGATTATGACCGAGCGTAGTTTGGAGTAAACACCCTTTCCCTTCTTCTCAGATTGTTTTCCTCTGTTTTCTCCAAGAGAAAAATGGTAATGGTTCTCTCTTATTTTTTTAAGCTAATGTAGTCTCAAATACAAGGGAAGACTTGCAGGCTTCGTAGACTTCGTAGTCTCATAGAACTCGGAACCTCTTAGTAGCGCGTTATTTCCACTCTCTTCGATCAAACACCAGAATCCGAAGCGACAAAAGATCCATGGTAAATCTCTCACTGTTCAAATCGAAGCTTTTCTATTGTTCGTTTGAGTTTGAGTTTGATTTATGATTTATGATTTTGTTTCAGGCTCCTTCTGCAAAGCCAATAACGAGTCCAGTGTCTGATGCGTGGTATCCAACCCTAGCCGTCTTCATGCTCGCCATTGGTCTTGTCCTCACCGCTTCCTTGTTCATGTAACAACCTTCATCTTTTCTCCTTTGCGACATTTCTTCCTTCTTTTATTATACCAAATTTCGTGTTTTTGCTCTTATTATATTAAATTTTGGAGGCATTTTTCAGCTTTCCCCCGTATGTTTTGAAAATTTTACAAGTAGATCTGGGTATTTTGGTATAATATATTACTGATAATTGGTTATACAATAGGGTAACAATATTACATTAGCATGATTGAGAAATTTTTATGTAGAATGTGATTTTCATTGATTTGATCTGGAATTTTTCTTTCCCTTTTAAATAGGTAGTTTGCATGCTCCAATGTGTTCTTCTTTTTCTTTAATGGTAATAGAATACAACTATACAAGTGTGAATTTGATCATTGCCCTTTATGTTTCTGGTTGGTACACTCCTGCATTTCGCTTCTCTTCACCTTTAATTTGTAAAACTATCAGTTGGAGTCATGGCATTTCATGTCTGCTTTGCTTTCAGAAATACTTGTCTTAAATGAGTGTCTGGTTTTCCTGATTTGGTTATCTTATTTTCAAGTTTGAACTTTCATCCTTTAATTTCGAGGCCTAAAATAATACATCATCTTTTTGCACGACTAAACCTGTTTCTGAGCTCATCTAGTTTGTTATACCTTACAATTGGCTGATATTTTTTGCAGACTGGAGAACGTGTGAACCCCAAAGCATACCCACTAGCGGATGATCAGTTGACAACGACGATTTTAGATCTTGTACAACAAGCAGCTCAAAAAGGGAGTTAATGAAGGTTAGTAAACAATACACATTTCCATTTTTTTCGTTTATTGTAATTATTGTTATCGTTTCCGATATGGGTTTTCTTTCTCCTGATCTTCTTCTTCATTTCTTTTTCTTCTTTAATTGGATTTGTTTGGGATTCAGCTACCAAGACCCTGAACAGAGGTATCTCGGAGTTCGTTGTGATGGCTGCGGATACTGAGCCCCTTGAGATTCTGCTCAACCTTCCTTTGCTTGCTGAAGATAAGGTATTTGTTCTATGGAATATGCATATTTTTCTTTTTGTTTTTTCTGGTATAGACTTTTTGATTGCTTAATTCTTGTTAATATGTGGGTTTACACTAGGAAAAGTTATTGCTAAGTGGTATTTTAGTTGTTTTAAAATTTACGTGGATGCAAAGTTAGGCAAGTTGAATTGCTTGATTGAATGGGATAGAATGTAAGTTTATACTTTGCATGCACTATTTGAATTGTGTACCTCACATAATAATGTGGGAAAACTACCATATCAAGCTGCAAACTTGCTTCTAGTTGCCAAACTCAACTGTAATTTACGAAGACATATGATCTTCAGCAGTTTTGGAGTCTCTCCTCTTTTGTTTAGTACTTATGAGTGGTATATGTATTTCTTGTTGATGTGCTTATGGTTGTTGTATTGTTGTTCTGTGCCCCAACTTTAACGTTTTAATTAGTCGTATCACTGTTGTAATATTTAGCTTTGGGTTTAGGGTTTGACTAATTGTCTTATGGAGTGTCTGATTTTATTGCTTCAAATCAATGGTGTACTCACTAGCTGTGAATTTAAAGCATCTTTGACTTAAGGTTATACACTTTGTTTAATGTAAATTGTTTCCCCCTCTTGAGCTTGGAAGCATTCCTATATCACATCATCTTGACTTCTCAATTTAAAGTAGTTCATCATAGAAGCAAAATCTTAGCTACAACACCTTGATTCATTACCTAGATTTTGAGCTCAATAGTTTACTTTGTATTTGATTTTTTGCAGAATGTCCCCTATGTATTTGTTCCTTCAAAGCAAGCACTTGGACGAGCATGTGGGGTCACAAGACCTGTAATTTCCTGTTTTGTCACAACAAACGAAGGAAGCCAATTGAAATCCCAAATTCAACAACTCAAGGTACTTTTGTTACCTTGTAAAATTAATGATATTTTGTACCCTTTTTGGCTGAATCTGCATCTGCATCTTCTGTTTTTCCATTTGTGAAATGTAGGATGCTATTGAGAAGCTCTTGATCTAGAATCTTATGAAACTCATTTTCGGTGTGACGGGCCTCTCGGATTGTGGTGGTCGGTCATTTAGAGGCTTTGACTGATGAAGTTGTGCCACAATTGAACAACTCTTTTATAATTTGACCTTAAATGTGATTGTTATGTCGTTTATGTTTTCCTATGAATTGAGAAAACAAAGGATAATCTTGAATCGATATTTACAGCAGCTTAGTATGAATGATGCTATTGCTTAAATGTAGCCTGTTCAATATGCATTTGAGGTTTTAAAGGCTGTCAATTTGACACAATCTATTGAGGTTTTATAGGTGATGTTTGTAAATCGAAAGAATCCAACAATGAAAAATTAATCATCGATATAAAAAATTAGAAGCACTGAATTTATGATATTTGTTTTTGTAAGCTATTGAAAATTGAATGTTCAAGTAGATTTTGTATTTGATCTCTTATAAGTGATATATTTATAGATATCTTTTCTTTGATTAAAAGTTCAAGGGGAAAAAATTACAGTTAAAAGGAACATTTAAGATTAATGTCGTTGACTGTAAAAAATTTCCTCGAGTGAAATTAACTTAATACATCATGTATACTATAATTTTTTCTTCACTTTTCATATTAAATCATTCCTAAAGTCATATTAAATCACTTTTCATACTAGAATGTAAACCTATTCGATTGAAAAATACAAGAAACCTCACAGTGAATGCGTCACATATAAACCGAAGCTAGTTTCTACAGTGTAAACATTTAATTAAATATTGATGTAAAATTTTAATATATTTTTACATAAATTATATAAAATTTAATATTAATTAAAATAAAAATAATACATGATATATTTAAATACTCGAGTAATATATTATCAACAGATATAATTTTTATATAAATAATTTTTATTTAAATATTTAGAATCTCACTTGTTAAAAAATATAGACCAAGGACAATTTGGTAAAATATACATTCCAGTAATCTTTTATTCCTTCAACCAAACACTGTAATCTTACATTCCTGCCAAACCAACCAAACACAGTAATGTAACATTCCCAGTAATCCTATTCCCTGATAATCTTTTATTCCCACTGGTAATCTTACATTCCGTGAACCAAACGCACCCTTAATATATTTGGCTTCCACAAGCTCACTGTCCCATTGCTGTTCTCAAAAAGTAATAAAATTATTAAATTCAAAGCAACGATATATAATAATCTGAACAAAAATCAAAGGGTCGGCATTCAAATATGAACTATCTGTTGAAATAGAGAAAAGAGTATTGAGAAACAATGGCTTGAGTTTTCCATTGATTAAGAGTGGATATACATACACAAGATGGGGCACATAGAAATAGGAAACTAGCCTAGAGTTAGGGTGTAACATCCCAAAATACGGGTTAGTGATTAAATTATAAAACTTCAGAGTTTAATGATTGAAGTAGGGTATTTGAATAGTGTAATGATTTGTTCGGAAATATTTCCTAAAAGTTTATAGTAATTATCCAAAGAATTTGAGGGCAAAATAGTCATTTAACCATTAAATGATTAAATTGTGTTATGATAGGGATATATACGGGGAAAGGGATAAGAAGAATATCTAGGGATTCTTCTTCTTCTCCTCTTTGTTCTTCCATACGAGAGAAAGCCACAACAAAGGTGAGTTTTCTATTTTCTTGGTTATTTGTTGTTTTAAAAGTTGGGTTAGGTTCACTAGATGATAATTAAGCTTAAGGAAAGCTTAATTTGTTCTAAAACATCATGATGAAAGGTATAGGAGAGATTAAAGATTTTGAGTTTTGAATGAAATCTTGAAATAGAGTTGATAAGTTGAATTTAAGTTGAATTTGACTTGTCATCTATGAGAATAAGAAGATAAAAGTGTTGGAATTAAGTTTGGATAACATGGAAAATTTAGTATGATTCTTGAATTACATATGAAGGATAGGATTTTGAAGTTTTAGATGATTTTCATGGATATAAGTTGATTTAAGTAATAGTAGTTGAGTTTAATGTCATGAAAGGGGTTTAATATAGAAGAATTGAAGGAAGAATTGATGATTTTCGGGCTTGAAATACAATTTCTGGGTAGAGGGAACCGATACCCTATGAATGAGAATCGATTCCCCCTCTTGGACGAAAATTTCCAGAATGTCTAGGGGTTATCGATTCCCCCTAAAGGAAAAAATGAAATTTGGTTCAATAATCTGGCTTAAGTTGTTAACATCAAGTTTAAGGTTTAGGCTTCTGATAGTTGTTTTGAAATGTTATATTTATGTAGATATTGAGCCTAAACAAGCTCTGGAATAATCAAGGGATTAGAATTGATTCAAATCAAACAAGGCTAAAGTGAGTGCAATTTTAATTGTACTTATATTATTGAACGAACATTGGCTTGCGATGAGTCAGTGATGGAGTTACTATGGTAAGAAGTGACTCCTAAAATGTTATTTGATTGGTGATTCTTATATGTGCATGAATACATGAAATGAGTATAGGTTATTATATATGTTACATAATATGCATATGTGATATATGCTATGAGACATGACCAATGTGAAATGAGATAAGCTATGTGATTATATGAAATGATATATGAATATGCAATACGTGATACATGTGATATGATATGAAATAACATATGAATATGTAATACGTGATACATGTGATATGATATGAAATACATGGTTACACATACATGTGGTATGTGATAGAAGAGAAAAAACAAGTGATGAGAAATGTATTCATAATAAATGCCCATAGTATATGATACGAGAGTTATAGGTATAGTTGGCATGTCAAGAGTCGAGGGTTACATATGTCTTATAAGACATATGATAGGTCCTACGGGACACAGATTACATCCTTCAGGATGACAGGTCCTTAGGGATACATATGACATCCTTCGGGATGATAGGTCCTTCGGGATATTTATACGAGCTGTGGTGATAGCATATGTGTACACAACCTCAGTGTACTCGCATACCTCTATTCTCAATAATATACATGGGCAATACAATTGAAAGATAAATTAAAGTGAAAGTGGCACAAGAAGGTAAGTTTTACATGTGCATGACATGCTTACATATGTTATCGTGTAATAGATACATGCATGTTGAAATGTCATGATCAAATGATAAGAATGCATATTCATGAATTTGTTGTTAAATGTTTATTTATTGCCTCATTAAGTCTATGACTTAGCGTGTAAGTGATTTACACGTAGGTACCAAAAAACGAGAAGAACAAGAATAGAAGTGGCAAGGACAATATTATTACTAGAAGATCAGATCAGAAGTAATCGACAAAGTATATATTTTGGTGTGTATAGAGTGTTGGCATGTAATAAGTCGTTAATTACGAGTACTCTGATGGAGTTTGTATTTTGTGGTCATTTTTATGTAAATTAACGTATTTTGCTTTAAATAAAGTTTTAAATTTCTCTGTTTTTCAAAAAAGTCAATGTGACACCTCAGACTTGTATTCGAGTCGGGTACGGGTTGGGGTGTTAGAGTTAATGGCATTAGAGCTAAGGTTTAGTCGATTCTCTACATAAACCTGAGTCTATAGTGTTTTATAAGGTATACATGCCAACAAAATAGTGAAAACTTCTGATCTAATGGAATAGTAAGTATACTTTTGTGCTAATAGAATTATATGATTGTATTTTTATAGATGTCCGGACAAGGTAGTTCTAGAAATGAAGTGGGAGATGATATACCCACTGAAAGCAGTAATTCACCTGCCCTGGCCAGACAGACTGAAGAACAGAAACCCTCTGGAGTGCATGTGAATGATCAAGATGTATTCTTTAGAACTTTAGACGCGATATTGATGCGTTTTCAACCTCCTGTTTCCTCAACTCAAAGAATAAATATTGCGAAAGAGTTGAAAGGGCTAAGAGCTCCTGAATTCAAAGGTGAAGCAGAGGAAGATCCTGTTGCTGTGGACCTTTGGCTCAATGATGTGAAGATTATGTTAAATGGACTCCACTGTTCTGATGTAGAGAAGTTAGATGGAGTGGTCTCTTTGCTTCGTGGACAAGCAAGAATCTGGTGGACAAATATTACCTTGAGGATGACCAGTGATCAAGTGACATGGTCCTTGTTTTTAGAAGAGTTTAAGCACAAGTATATTGGAGATTAGTTTATAAGGCAAATGAAGCAAGAGTTTATGAGTATGAAACAGTTGAATCGCACCGTATATGAATATGAGTGTGAGTTTAATAAGTTGAGTCATTTTGCTGCTGAGCTTATTCCAACAGAAAAAGATACTTGTGAATGGTTTGTTGAAGGCTTGCGCCCGAGGTTGAAAGAAATGTTGATCGTGTTGAACTTGTCCTCGTTCCAAGAGGTTGTCAATCGTGCTAAAGCTTTAGAGAGAGCTCAGAATGAAAGATTTGGGGATCAGAGAGCCCAACCGTCTAAAAAAATTGAGGCTTCATTAAGTTTTACACCACCTAAGAGAGGTAGAGATTCTGGTTTTCGTTCTCAGGCGAGGTCTGAATCAATGGCCTCTTCCGCTAGATGATCAAATCAAATTAGAGCTAGACAAACTCAACAATAGGGCCTGGTACTGGGAGAGCAAATCCGGGTCAAGAAAGATAATGTCAGACTTGTGGAAGATATCATAGTGGTATATGTAGAGTAAGAGTCGGAGCTTGTTTCCGATGTGGGGAAACGAGATATTTCATGAGAGATTGTTTAGTGAGGTCCGTAGAGCCTTCACAGTTGGAGCGATCTATTTTGATGTCTCAGAGAGGAATGGGTAGAGGTAGAGGAAGAAGTCAGTCTGAATCTTCTACTCAACAAGAGGTGCGCTCTGTTGCTCGGGTGTATAACCTCAAGACCAATGAAGAACGTGATGATCCTGAGATAATTGCAGGTACCTTTCAACTGTATGATAAATGTGTTATGATATTGATTGATCCGGGGTCAACATATTCATATATTTGTAGTAAATTGGTGAGTGAACTGGGAATTCAATTAGAAGCCATTAGTAATAATGTGATAGTAACAAATCCATTAGGGCACAATGCTCGGGTAAATAGAGTGTGTCGTGGGTGTCCCATACAGATTCAAGGAATCGAATTCCCTGCTAATCTGATGGAATTACCCTTTGACGAATTCGAAGTGATACTGGGAATGGACTGGCTATATCGCTATTATGCTAATGTTGACTGTAGACTGAAGAGGGTAACATTAATCAGTCCTGATGGAGTGGATGTTATAGTGTTCAGTGAAGGATGAAATCCATTGGCAAATGTAATTTCAGTAATATCGGCAAAGAAGTTACTGCTACAGGGATGTCAATGGTTCATTGCTAATGTACGGGATGTTAGAACCAATGAAAAGGGGATTAAAGAAATTCCTATCGTCAAAGAATTTTCTGATGTATTTCCTGCAGAGTTACCAGGTCTGCCTCCAGACAGAGAAGTGGAATTCCAAATTGAAATAATGTCTGGAACTGCACCTATTTCCATGTCACCATACAGAATGGCTCCAAAAGAGTTGCAAGAATTAAAGATTCAATTACAAGAATTGTTGGACAAAGGTTTTATTAGACCAAGTGTATCACCTTGGGGAGCTCCAGTTTTGTTTGTTAAGAAGAATGATGGTTCAATGTGTCTCTGCATTGACTACATGCAGCTCAATAAAGTGACTATTAAGAATAAATATCCACTTTCTCGAATCGATGACTTATTTGATCAATTAAAGGGAGCTTCAGTGTTCTCAAAAATCGATCTACGTTCAGGTTATCATCAATTAAAGATTCAAGAGAAAGATGTTCCAAAGACGGCATTTAGAACAAGATATGGTCACTATGAGTTTATCGTAATGTCGTTTGGAGTTACGAATGCACCAGCTGCTTTCATGGATCTAATGAACAGAATTTTTCAACCCTATTTGGATCAGTTCGTGGTGGTTTTCATTGATGATATTTTAATATATTCAAAGTCAGAGGAAGAGCATAGTTCTCATTTGAGGATTGTCTTGCAGAATTTACGAGATAAGAAGCTTTATGCTAAATTCTCTAAATGTGAATTCTGGTTGAATGAAGTGACATTTCTTGGACATGTAATTTCTGCAGAAGGAGTTCGAGTGGATCCTCAAAAGATTAAAGCTATTCTGGAGTAGGAAGTTCCAAAGAATGTGTCAGAAGTTCGAAGTTTTCTGGGGTTAGCTGGTTATTATCGAAGGTTCGTTAAAAACTTTTCGA